TCTATGGGTGCAATCCGGTGTGCTTATTGCTAGGGGGAAAATCCCTATGACTTTCACCATGCTAGCTGGAAAGGCTGGTTATTGTAAGACCTTCTTTTGTCTAAACATGCCTTAAGAATGAGTCTCTGTGTATTCACAACTGCTCTGATTAATTGCACAGTTCTTATAAAACACAAAGTTGATCCTACAAGTCTGACATCTGGCTACCCTAAAATTACACAATGTATTGCAACTAGCATATCACCTGACTTTTTGTCCATGTGAACAGAGTTCTAAACAGGAGCATCTTTTAAAAAGGAAAATCAATCATATTCTGCATTTACCCCAGGATGGGTGACATGCTGCCACTACATAAAGCAGTTGAAATATCTGGTAGGAGGAAAGAAAATACTAAAATGCAGGAGAAATGCCAGCTACATCCTCAGCATGTTTGAAAAACTTGCCAGTTCTAGCTAATCCCTCAGTGCAGGGGAGACAAGATTTCTGCATCGCCCAGAAACTAGAAAAGCTGACTTATGTCAACAAATCGGAGACTGTGGCCCTGGCCCATGCCAAGAACTCAGTCCTGACATATGAACAACCCCCACAAACTACCCAGCTCCTAAGAGAACCCAGGGAGCCTTGCATCAAGACCCCCTCATACTACACTTGGTCTGCAAGCATCTCAGACGAGGAATCAGGCTAGCTTCCCACTTGGTAAGATGATTGACTAGAACCAGTGTCAGACTGGGGAAGGCTGACTGGCCAGCCACAGCTAGCCTACTTTCCCCTTTCAGTGGTTTAAATTGAATGAGTAGGTGATTCTCGCTGGAGTCCTAAGGTGAGGTGCCTGTCAAAGAGCACTAGGTGTATGCTGCACCTAGGCCGTTTTTGCAAAGTGTCTCTTTTCCATAATTTTACACTATCATGGTTTCACTTTGGAACTTTTAAGCACGAGCAGATAGATATAGTCCCAAACTGTGCTCTCTGCCCTCTTGATTCAGAGGTGGAACTGTGCTTGACTAAGTGCTGAGATATACCATATCTTGTGCTCTGTTGTTGCATCAAATGGTCATCAACATGGACCCATCTTTTAGAAAACATAGTTCCTTCTCCTACTGGAGTTGACAGTAGGGCAATATCCTACACTTAAAGGGGATGGCTGTGAATTGAAGAGAGATTGGGATTTGGCCTAAATGTGCTCCTCCTCCATCCACCTTGTGTGGGAAGGTTCCACCAGCATAACTGTCATGTTGATGATACTTCTAGTGTTCAGTCTGTGTACTAGAGCTTTTGCTAAATCCTAAAGCTCCTCAATTAATGTATCCCCATGCTTATTTGGTTAGGTATGCCTAAGCAATAATTTAGAGAAGTGGGGGACAGTGATATTGATTTTAGAGATACTATTTGATAACCATCATTCTAGTTTTCTGAAGCCATCCCCAGCACTAGCCATGCTAGCTGGGAAGGACCAGAGTTGCATCCAACACATGGAGAGGGTACCAGGCCTGGAAAAGCTGATCTAAACTGTTCCTGAAGCTCAAAAAACAAATGTGAGGCCATTTGCCGTTTTTCATATCGTGGCGTCTTTCCTTGCATAAGATTTCATTAATAACAGGCAACTTAGCCTGCTATTTCACAAGAGCTGTCAATACATATGTGCAGATGGTGACTTAGACCCTCATTTGGAAAGTGTTTCATTGAAATAATGGGCCTTAAATCTAAGAAACAGAAATTCTGTATGCTAAAACTATTTCAATCAGGAAAATGAAAGAAAATGCATGCAGGAAGACTGGCTTTGAATAATCAAATTTCCAGCCTATTAGGGGGCTTCGCTAATGAAAATGACATGGATTAATTATAATCCATATTAATAACACTGAAACACTTGCTACATGCCAGGGTATAACACATGTAGGTGCTTGTGCAGAGGTTTTAATTGATACATGGGGAATATGGTAAGATACCATACTGTGTATACATTTCTGTCCAGCTTAACTGCTAGCATCGGGGCTTTTACCCCCAAGACTTCCTTTGAATTATAACTTATTTATTTTGCATGGCAGTTTTTACATATAGACATTTCTTCTTTCTTTCCTCAAGACATGTTGGCATCCTGAGCAACTGCATATTTACTGAGAAGCAAATCCTACCAAGTTCAACAGGGCTCATTGCCAAACAAATGTCTGTAAGACTGAGGGCTTATTTTCAGTGACCCATCTTCCAGGGGTTCCTCTTTTTTTCCAAAAAAGTTGACATATTTATATCCTGGAAACCAGCCGTGCCTATTTCTCCAAAATTTTCTTTTCCTCCCATAGACAGACACAAACAATAAAAGACATGTCTTGGCTTGTGGTCTGAACTAAAATCTCTGCTTCAGTTGGTTCCAGAAAATAATACGGATGACCGGCCATTGGACCCTTGGCAGTGGAATTGTGAGGCTGCTGCAAAGCACAACATTGTCCCCAGTGTTATTTAACATCTGTTGAAGCCACCGAGGGTATTGATAATAAGTTATGGAGCAAGGTGTCACCAGGATGCTGATGGCACCTAGCTAGAACTATGGAATGTCTGCAATTCTGAAGCCATGGAAAACACACAGACACAGTCTTCCCTGTTGTTACGTGCCATCAGGTTGTCTCTGACTTATGAATGAATGCCCTCCAAAATGTCCAGTCCTTCACAGTCTTGCTCAGCTCTTGTAAACTCAAGGCTGTGGTTTCTTTTATGGAGTCAATTCATCTCATAAACGGTCTTCCTTGTTTTCTACCTTTGACTTTCCCTAGCATGATTACTTTCTCGAGTGAGTTTTGGCTTCTCATGATGTGCCCACAGTATGGCAGCTGCATTTTTGACATTTTTGCTTTCAGGGCAAGGGCAAGTTCTGGCTTGATCTAGAACCCACTTGTTCATCTTTCTGTCAATCCAGAGATTTCTGTCAAAGCTCTTCTCTAGCACCATGTTTTGAACATATCAATTTTCTGCCTGTCAATGTTCTACACTGTTCAACTTGCATATTCATACATAATGATCCTGAATATATTAGTGTGGATGTTCTTGGCCTTGGCCTCCAATGAAGCAACTTTATACTTGATGATTTTTTCTTGTTCCTTCATTGCTGGCCTTTCAAGTCTCAGTCTTCTTTGTATTTCTTGGCTGCTGTCTCCCTTTGAATTGAAGACTGAGCCAAAGTATGCAAAATCTTTCACAATTTCTTTCAATTTCTTCACTGTTGACAGAAAAGTTTTGTAATTCTTCTGTAGTCATGATTTTTGTTACTGTTCAGAGGTAGTCCTGCTAAAGTTTTTGCTGCAGGACTAGAGATAAAAATGGAAATCTTGAGAAAAAATGAGTAATACATTTTTTTTTGCATTCTTTACAGATCTAAATTCACTTTGTTGCTTGAGGACAGCCTTTTTCATGTTATCTTCAAGATATTTTGGACTTCATCTCCCATGCGCCTCAGGTAACATGGCCAGTGGTCAAGAATGCTCAGCATTGTAGTCTAAAGCATCTGTAAGGCTTTGGACTGCCTGTGAAGGTGTGGATGTAGTTTGGAGGTATTCTCAGAGCCACCTTTGCTGCTGGACAGCCATTACTATCTTTGGCTGGTATTTCAACTACACCGGCTTCTGAATAGGGATCCTGATCCAGGCACTGGTAACCACACAAGGGGATTACTGTAATGTGCACTATGCAAGACTACCTTGTTGACTGCCCCATGACCAATATTATTTATTTATTTATTTATTTATTAAAAGCATTTCTACCCCGTCTTTTACTGAGGTCACAGGATGGCAGTACAATAATTAAGAAGCAGCATCAATAAATAAAATAAAATCCATATTAAAATCACATAAAATTTTAAAATATTGGGAAAAAGGTCTTGGCTTGGTGCCAAAATGAATAAAGCATTGACACCAAGCACACCTCTTTAGGGAGCCTGTTCCAGAGCTGGGGCACCATGACATAGAAGGCTTTTCTCTGGGGGACCACTCAGAGGGCTCCCAAAGAAGGACCTCCAACCCAGATCTGAGGGGACAGGCAGTTATATATGGAAGGAGACACTTCATCAGATACTCAGGTTCTAAGCTGTTTAGGGTTTTATAAGCCATTATCAACACCTTAAATTGGCCTGAACTTCAGCTGGAAGCCAGTGCTGGAGATGAAGGACCAGTGTTCTATGTGCCTATCTACCAGTCCCCGTCAAAAGCCTGGCTGCTCTATTCTGGATCAATTGAAGTATCCAGACCATCTTCTAGAGCAGCCCCAAGTAGAGCACATTACAGTAGTCCAATAGCAAGTCAATAAGTGATGGCACATAAGCAGGTCTTCCTGATAGTTGCACCCACCCTCTAGTACACTCTCCCAATTGTGGTCCAAGGGTCGGAAACTTCAGATGCACATTTTAATGACAGACAGTGAAGGCACATCTGTTTATGTACACTTTCCCTTGCACTGCTCTATTTTACCGTCTCTGGGGTTTCATGTGTATTTATGCACTGTACAAACCGGTTAGATATCTTATCATATACTCCAGCTGGGGTATTTCCAACCAGGCATTCGTCTGTCTAGCCCAAATCAGACAGTGGTCCGTCGAACTGATTCTACACGGCCTGGCACGGTTCTCCAGCGCGTTACCCAGGCGGCGGCCTCGAGTTGTCCTCGACCAGCCCGGGCCCTTTGCCATGGCAAGCAGGTGTTCCACCACTCGGCTCCTGCCCTTCCCTTTGACTGCCAGCGCAATTTCCTTCATGCTTGAATGTCATCAATCACTGTGTCCTCATGAAGTCAAACCTGAGCAAGTGCACGGACGCCTGCTTTGGTTTCCCACCTCACTTTTCCTTCCCCCTTTGCCGGTTTCGCCACAGAGACAAGCCGCCCCCGGTCTCTGCGCATGCGCATTATAACACAACCCCCTCTTTTTCGGCAACCTCGGGCGGACTCGCTCCGTCTTTGATCCCCGCTTCCATGACCGCCCCAGCAGGAAGGGCTCCGATTGGTCCCTGCGCGGTTCACACCGCCCGCCAATGGGAATGCCGGAGCCCGGGCCCTTAAGCACTGCCTCTTCGTGTCATCAAAACAAGCCCGCGAGGCCGGCTCCGCGTTGACGGTGACATGGCGCTCCTCGCGCTCGCGCTGCGCACCGCGGCGGCCCCAAGGTCTCGGCTGCTGCGTCTCGCTGCGGGGTCCCCGGCGCGGAGGCACGCGGCGCACTTCGCCTTCCAGCCGGACCCGGAACCCACCCAGTATGGTGAGAGCTGCGGGGCGCCTGCCTCGGGTCCGCGCTGCGGGGGGCGGGGAGAGGAAGGCAGAAGGCGCCGCCCCCCGCCAGCCTCTGGGGCAGAGGAGAATCGAGCCCGCTACCTAGCGTGGATCTCCCTTCTCTGCCTTCGATCGCAGGCAGGATCCAGCGGACTGAAGTGTTAGAAGTCTCGAGGTGGTCGAGTGGGTTGCATCACTTTAGCGGGGGGGGGAGATACTACTTTCCCAATGGCCATCCTAAGACCCCCCCCCCACCTTTCAGTTCTTCCCGGCACATCAGTCAAAGAATTTGGTTAATATGCTTTTCTGTTTGTAAGAATTCGTCTTTTAAAATGCATCCCCAAATGGCAGTTCTCCCCCGCGCCTCACCCTCAGGTGGTACAGCCTATTCCACCATTCCTCACCTGATCCTGTTGCAAGTGAGGACTTAATCTCTGTTTGATATTCAGTATGGTAGCTAGAAGATGATTGGCTTGTGGATGGGTTGCAAAAAGTTTATGTGTCGGCACTTATTTTCTTGAATTCTTTCTTGAATTTCAGGTGTTCTGTTCTTGCCCCCCCCCCCCAAACAATTGCAGACCTGCAGCATATCAGAGTATTTATGTATGTATGTATGTATGGAACTTCTATGCCTCCCCATTCACCGAAGCCTCGGGGCGGCTCACAAACATATCATGGATTTGTCCAGAACAAATGCTGACAGACGAACCTGATCTCATTTTTTCTAATTGGGCAACCTCTCATGCAGACTGCTGGAATGTCATAGACATGGCCAGTCAGGTATCTTGAAATCAGCAAAGCTTTTGACAAAGTGCCCCATGATCAGCAAATTAGCTAAAAGTGGGCTAGATCAAACCCCTGTCAGGTGGATCCACAGTTGGCTATGAAATCAGACCCAAAGAGTGTTTATGCATAAGACTTCTCAAACTGGGGAAAGGGAACAAGTGGGGTACCACAGAGTTCAGTCCTAGGCCTGGTGCTCTTCAACATTTATATTAATGATTTAAATGAGAATGTGCAGGAGATGCTTTTCAAATTTGCAGGTAACACAACATTGGGTATGAGAACTAAAACCTGGGAATGCTAACAACATTCAACGTGAGCTTGATAGGCTATTGAGCTGAAAACTACAGAATGAATAGGGACAAATGCTTAGCTTTGCAAATGTTAGGAAAAAAGAAAGCAAATGTATAGTTACAAGGTGAAGAATAGTTGGCTCAACAATGCTACAAGCTAGAACATGGGTCCTCAGACTAGGGCCTGTGGGCTGGATCTGGCCCACCGTGCCCATTTATCCGGCCCACCTCAGAGGTGGTGGACTCCCTGCGCATATGCGTGGCGAGGCAGTGTCTTGCTTGCAGGGAGATCGTTTTGGACTTGCTCGGAGAGTAACTGGAGATTAAGTAGGGATATAGAAGAAGAAGGAATTTGGATGGATGTCTCACTTGTACATGGCAGGTTGCAAGCTGTACTTCTTGAAAGGCATGGGAAAGGGTTAAATCCTCTGCATCTAGTCTCAGGGCCTGCAGGCTTTCCTTAATCTGTGCCACTTTCAACAGAATGTGACTTACTTATTTAAAGTATTTCTTGGCCGCCTATCAAGGCAGGAGCCTTTCCATTGGAGGCATATGGCAATAATATTATGTATAAAAACTGAAGTAGCATTAACAGTGGCAAAACATAATAAAAATAGCAACACAGTCTAAAAAAATCACAGCATAAAATAAACTCACAGCAGCCACAACCCAGTCTGATAAAGCAGAATCAAGAGAAAATCACAAAAAGTAATACATGCTTCAAGTTCTTTTTAAAGCCCTGCAACAACAGGACTTTGTGGTCCCTCCAGTGGTAACTTATTTCATACTTTAAATGGGGGATGGATAGGGTAGATTTAATTTAAATCACTAGCAAGACTAGATTTAAATCATGGTTTTGCACACATGCCTGCTTTATGTGCAAGTACAGCAACTTCATTAAGATATTCCCAAATTGGGACTCTTTTATGGCCATGCTTTTACTTCATTAAACTAATCCTATGAAAATATTCAATTATGGCCTGCTGTCATTATAGGCTTTCTCCTTCAGCAAAGAATAATATGATAAATCTCAGTCTATACACAAAAGGATCCAAAGGCTTCTACAGTATTCTGATCACAAGGCTTCACTTTCAGTTTTACTGCTTGCTCCCCCCTCCTTACAGGTAGCTTCTTGTGCAGATTTATTCCACTCCCAACAATCTTCTATTCATTGACTTTTTTGAAACTTAGCACTTAAGGGATAAGAGGTTGTTCTGTGTACATGAATTTGCAGAGGAATAATGGAATTAAGGGCTTTTCCTCAACTCTGTATGTTTATTTCAAAACATTTTTGCTGTGAGGAAGAGGCATGAGATCTCTTTAGACACAAATTCCCAATTTTGAGAACTATAAAACCAAGCATCTGTGAGAATATCTTCTAGATAGACTAATTGCCCAATAACATTACAGAAACCTCTGGAAGAGCCTGACATTGTAAAGTTTAATGTAATGACAATGTAAATGGATTAATGGAATACATTTAGCAAAAAATGTAAACATGCTTGGATATATAGCCTTGCATGACATAATAAATAATCCTTATTTCACCTTTGGACTATAATGTATCTTAAATAGAAGACAATATGTAGATAGAATCCAATTTAATGTTCTAAAATCCATTTTTTATTTTTTAAGAAAGTTGTTGATTTTTATCCACTCTGGGCTTGCAAATTTACTAGCAACCAGTGCAACTCATGCTGTCTAGGTGATTGAATTGCCTTGCTAACATTTGGTTGGCTCCATTTTGCATGAAAATTCTCAGCTGTCTTCCAAGCCACATGTACAGCCCATTACAGTATCCTAGAGATGTACTGAAAAACAGAGAGAAACTGAAAAGTGTTACTGCAATACAACATATCTTTGCAAGTGGGAATGAATCAAACCATTTTTTTCCATGAAGGAAGTGCTTGGAACTTCTGTTTCTACCTCTGTTTTTTATTTTTAAGTGAGTGAGAGAAGCATGTTGCTGATCTCCCCTCAACATGTGAAGCTTCCCTTTCAAGGAAGAGAGTCTCCCAGACTTTCTGAATGGTATAGGACAGGAGTCGGCAACCTTTAACACTAAAAGAGCCATTTGGACCTGTTTCCCACGGAAAAGAAAACACCGGGAGCCACAAAACCCTTTTGACATCTAAGAGGAAGATAACACTGCATATATTGTTTTTTACCTTTATGCTATGTATAAAAAACTATAGTGTGTTGCATTTATGAAATCAATGAAATGCTACAGAGAAAACAAGTTTTTATTTCTTCATGCAACAAAAGCTCCGAAAAAAAGATGCTGGGTTGAAGGTTACTTTCAAATAAAATACTCAATGTCTATTTGAGTCCTCCTCGTATTTATGAAATAAAAAGCCGAACTTAAATTACCTACCTGCAGCAAACCAAAAATGCTGTCTGTTTCTGTGTGCCCTCATCCTTTTATCACATGTAGTGGAGGGTGCAGTCAGCTGTCAACCTGCATAAAAAAGGACTAATTGATACTTTCATACAGATACTTTCATACTTTCATAGAGTTTCTGCAATACAGCAAATATAAATAATAGTCTGATGAAATATTGAACAAACATCCCTCTCCCAATGTAATAATGTTGCTGGAATTTTTAAACAAGGAAGTAGATCTTTATCTTCGTTAAGATTTAGCTGTAGCTCTTGTTCAGTCACTAAAAACTGTTATTTTTAATCTTACATTATAAACTAGTAGGACTCCTTTCATATATTTTGAATAGGAGAACAGCTTCCTGCAGAGTGCTAAAGGGCAGCTTGCATTAAATGGAAAACCCCATAAGTTCATCAGCAGTAAAGGCAAATGAATCTACCCACGTACCATTAAATGTTTGGTTTTCTTCAGAAATGTTTCTTTGATTTATCCATGGTTGGCCTACTGGGGGAAAAAACTCAGTAAATCTTGAAAAGTTCAATAAATCTGCACAGGTTGCAGATCGGCGGCTGTGCCGGCACGGGTGCTGGCCTGGGTTGCAGATCGGCAGCTGTGCCGGTGTGTATTTTGAGTGACGGAGCTGCAGCAGAGGGATTCAAGAGCCACGTGTGGCTCCGGAGTCGCGGGTTGCCGACCCCTGGTGTAGGAGGTAGTGCTGTAAAAGATTCAGAGAAAATGACCTTTTTCCTGTGCCAGTGGAACTCTGAGTAGGAATCTGGATCCAAGCTGATGTTCTTAGTTTAGGTCTGTGAAGCATGTAGCTCCAGTAACACAGGACAGTGATAATTCTTAACCAACAGGAGAATCTTGCTTCTTATCTCATGGACACTTGGTGGAATATAGTTAGTCTTAAAGAACTGCAAATAATTGAAGGCACTGCATTGTGACAAACTTTGATTTTTCTCCCCAAATGGATTGGGCTATTCATGTGGGCTGGAAGTCAAGATTTCAAGCATCTTTAAGAAAGTTACTTTAATCATATGCCTGCTTTAACTAAATAATCTATTTGCACAGGCCAGACACAGAAAATGAACCTTTTCCAGTCTATAACAAGTGCCTTGGATAATGCCTTATCCAGAGATCCAACTGCAGGTATAACTTTATGCAATGATTTCTTCGGAAATTTTGGTTTTGGTTGGAATAGTCTTTTGTTCAGTTCACATTTTAAAGCTGTAAATCTGAAATAATGTGAAACAAATTGTGTAACAATAATGTTAAATTCCATTATTTGAGGATAGCAACTTTGATCTGTTAGAACAAATGTACTTTGGCTTCATGTATCTATGTACAAGGCAGTCTCACCATGGATACATCATTTTGGGTAATGTGAACAGTTCCACTATAGACTGTGGAATCAAGAGAATGGGCTCATAACACTTTCTGCCATTTTTTTGGATCATTGCACAGGCTAATTATAGCTATATGTTTTAATCTGGAACTTTCACAGTATTGGTCAGTGGTGGTGAACCTGTGGCATGCATGCCACAGAAGGCATGCAGAGCCCTCTGTGTTGGCATGTGAGCCAAGTCGTCCTCACAGCCCCAGCAGCCGAGCATTGGATAACAGTGCACATAGGGGCCATGTGGATGCTTGGAAAGGACAAGCGGTGCCAGGCAATGACGTCACGAGCTGTGACTCATTAGTCGCAACTCGTCTGAGCTTTTGCATGGCCGGTCAGTGCGCTGCCAAGGATATATATGTATTTGCTTGGACTGGGTGTGAGTTGTTTTTTTCTAAATTAAAACCTCAGTTTTCAGGTTTTATTTTAGTATTGGCACTTTGTAATAAATAAGTGGGTTTTGGGTTGCAGTTTGGCCACTCAGTCTTCAAAAGGTTCGCCATCACTGGTATAGGTGATCAGTTTCTTTTTGAAATGTTGTTTTTATTATTATTTTGGCTCTCATGCTTTAAATGTATCTAGCTTTTTTCATCTGTTGGGAATGAGCACTGCGGGCCAGGGTGTCAATGGCTCTTTGGATGAGAACTGTGAGGCCTGGGAAATGAAGAATGTGGGCACAGAGATGGCAGAAAAGGGCAAGCTTATAGTATGGCTGCTGTTTCCAGGTATCCAGGCAGGCCCTGGGAACCAAAAGGGATTGGAAGTGTAGGGAGGGGACATGGAAAAGGTGCAAAAGGAGCCCAGTCTGGTAGCTGATACTATGATACAGCATTGGGAAAGAAGGGCTAGCCAGTTATGCAAGCTGCCCGGACAACCTATGGCTAGTGGGAAGGCATATAAATCAAATCAGTAAATAAAGGGCCTGCATAGCACTAGGAGGCTAAGCCTTCTCCAGATGGGCACACCCAGAGGGCTAGAGCCCAGGGTTGTGGAAAAGTGGGCTTCTTGAAGCAAAACTAACAAGTATTTTCAACACACTGCTCTGTGCATGCTCAGAGGCTCTTCCTCTGTTGACTATTAGTTTGCTGGCTCTGTGTTGGAAATAGAGTGCCTTTTGCCAAAGAAATGTCTGTTGATTAAAAGGAAGAAGGAGGGAAGTCAGCTCCTGCCACTGTCCATTTAACAGAGACGTACCTCCTTTATTTGTGCAGTTCAGGAGAGGGCACTCCAGAGAGACTGGCGCTTGCATTTGTATCTCATTCCCTGTGCTGTGGATTCTGCATCAGTGGCAGAAAAAATGGCAGTTTGGAGGTGCTACAGGCAACTATATTTGCTCTGTTTAGTTCTCAATAGTAATTTGTCACTGTAATTCTGTGGCAAACTACAGACCTTTTAATGCCATCATCACTTTTTGCAGCATGGGCTGTATGCTGTCAAACCTTGGTGTAGTTGATTATCCACTTGTGCTTATGTATTATTTCCCAAAAAATAATAAGAAAAGTTCTTTATTGCTCAGCAGGAAAATGGTCAGGTTGAATTTCTTCAGTTTCTAATCATGATTAACTTTCTCTCTTTTGAGCAAGCATTTATTGAATTCCTATTGTGCACTTGCAGTAATATTTGGTGAAGATGTATCCTTTGGTGGAGTCTTCAGGTGCACTGTTGGCTTGAGAGACAAGTACGGTGAGTTCATAGCTTATGTGACTGATAACACTGAGAAGTGGCGCATCAGCACTTGGAATCATGAGGATTATGTTACTAATTGTGCTCCCCCTCCTTTTGGTGCACCTTTTCTGCTGCCAAAAGAAAGGTACAGATGACAAAACATCCCATCGTGGATTGAATATCCTCTAGGACAAGGATGTGTTACTGTGTAGAACCAGGTCTGTGGGTGGACAACATGATGACTCATTGTAGCTTGTTAACTATAGTGGGTTGCTGTGTTGGGCAAACTCAGTCAGTATTTCTAGGTATGCCTCTAGTGCCAGGTATTTTGATTGTTGTACTTTAAATGTTCATAAATATATAAACTATGATTACGTGCAAAATTATGCACGTAATTATGTGTGCAAAATTATGCAAGAGTTGGATCTAGACTTAACCAAATTGGGAACAGAATCAGTTTTATGTCTGATAAGTCTGTATCCAACCCCAGCTTAAAATGAACAAAGTAAAATTGGATTTCATAAGAAAGTAATTATTGCATGCATTTAACTTTCCCCACATTTTAAGTATTCCTTGGAGAAAAAAAAAATTTTCCCCATGACTTCAAAATTTCAAGCAGTTGAACTTCTCTGCTCTCACTGCTTCCAACTTAGAACGTTTCATTGAAAAATTACAACCCCCTGTGTTTCATTAATTACTTGTATTAAATTGTTTTTATGCAATATACAATATGCATTTTTAAAAATCTGTAAAGAAAAAAATCTTTTATTTTTGTAGGTAAAGACAGAGTGTTTAATACTCCATTGTGTGAACAAGGAATAGTAGGATTTGGCATTGGAGTTGCAGTCACTGGTGCTACAGCCATTGCAGAAATCCAGTTTGCTGACTATATTTTCCCTGCTTTTGATCAGGTTAGTGGATACTTGGAATATTAAAGATGAGAAGAAAAGTTTATTATAGTCAGGATCCTGAAAATGTGAGGATCAGCGCTCTGGACCACCCCTGAAAGGGTGTGGAGGATCAGAGCTCCAATTCCAAGGTTGAGGTACCATCTGCAGTCTCAGAGCTATCTGGTGCCTTATGATAGTTACACCATGTGATTTAAATGCTATATTATGGGAAAAATCATTTACTTGTGAAGAAGTAAAACAGTGGGCTGCATCCGATTAGAAAACAGCACAAACATAAATTGGGAAGAGCCAGGCTGACTAGTGTTGAATTGGGGATCTGGCTCTGAGTTTGGGTCCACACTCAGCCATGCAGCTCTCTGGATTATTTTGGACTACTCACAGACTCTCAGCCTGACCTCGCTCACAGGTTTGCTGTGAGAGTACATAAAATGGAAAGAGGGTGAACCTTGAAAATCACCTTGGGTTCTTCACAAGCAGAAAAAAGGTAGGGTAGAAATATAATGTAATGGTTTATGATGATGCCATGTCAGCATAAGTAATCTTTAACAACTGAAAACTGCTCATCTATTTTAACACAATTCAGTGCTCTTCTACTGTGGTTGTTGTGGCACCTCAGTTTCACTGTCGGTACTTATGAGGTCTCATGATTTCAATGTGCTGTTGAGACAAATGTGTATTCTTTCACGTTCTTGTTAAGGATAGTTACCCAAAAATCTTTAAGTAACACTTCAGCATTCTTTTATTGATACTGATGAAGCTATGAAATGAAAAAAAAATTACCTCCTTTTTCCCTCAGATTGTTAATGAGGCGGCGAAGTATCGGTATCGCTCTGGAGATCTCTTTAACTGTGGCAGCCTCACAATTAGAGCTCCTTGGGGTTGTGTGGGTCATGGCGCACTATATCACTCCCAGTGCCCAGAAGCCTTTTTTGCTCATTGCCCAGGACTAAAGGTAAAGTCATTAGATAGATTTCCCCATAATTGGTGAAGATTTATGGTAATGGAAACTGTGTTTCTTCTTCCCTATATGCCCTCCCACCCTGTAAGATCTGCAGCAGAGGCCCTGCTCCGGGAACCCTCCTTGAAGGAGGTTAGGAGAGTGAACACCCAGAGGAGGGCCTTCTCTGCAGTGGCGCCCTGACTGTGGAATGTGCTCCTCAGAGAGGTTTGCCTGGTGCCAACTTTATATTCTTTTTGGCGCCAGGTAAAAACCTTTTTATTTGCCCATTATTTTAAGGTCTAAATAATTTTAATCTGGTTTTAGTGTATTCTCAGTTGCATTTTGTTTTGAATTGATTTTTTTAAATTGTTGTGTATTTATTGCTATTCATATTGTAAGCCGTCCTGGGACAATTGGATTGTTTAGGATGGGATAAAAATATTCTAAATAATTAAACAAACACCTGTGACTTCAGGAATTGTATTCATTTGGATATCAACCTAGTGATATACATAGACCGTGTGGATCTGCAAAGGCAGTATTCATATCTTTCAACATGCTTGCTTGCTTTGTCACATGGAAAGTCTTTAACAAATTGTGGCAACTTTAGCACTTTAAAAATAAACTGTTGAATTGACCTTGTGTATTTGTACCCAGAAGAGCTTCCCTATTGTATAAGAAAAGTTGCAGTCTGGTTTAAAAGAATCACAATCAACAGAATTATTTATTTCTGTATTTATAGTCTGTATTTATCTATATTTCTGTATTTTCAGTGGCTCTGTGACTAGAATGTGTCATTTCAGCTAGAGAATTACATCTTTGATTCACCCATTTAAAAACTTTGCAGCATAAAAAACTCTAGCATGTTAGAGAGATGAACATACAGCAGCTATGGGTAAATCCTAAGAAGATGACCACTCTAATATGAGAACTTTTTGCTAGAATTACTTCCTGACAATGACCTTTAGTGCTCTCAAGATCAAGAAGTCATATTGCAAGGTGCCATCAAAGACCAGTGTACCAGGATCTTACAGAAGCGTCACAATATGGCATTCTGTCAGTACAAAAAAGGGCCACTTCTCAGCTTTTAATTGATGTCCATGTCACAATCTACATTGGTATGAATCCAGCTTTAGAAGTGCCCATACTGTTTGCCCTAAGCAAGCAGTACGTATATGAAGTATAGGATATATGCATAGGCAAAGAATAATATTTTGAGCATTTTCTTCAAATCTGACCTAAAAGAATGTGAAAAATTGTGTAAAAATATATTTTTCACCATTGAAGCAACATTGTTATAAAGTGATGTTTCGGTGTTATGATTCTGAAATTTGGGTTTTTTCTCCTGTACTGTTTTCTGCCACATCAGTTTTGTCAACAATCTGTTTTTGAGTTTAAAGGTAGTTTGAACTGTTAATTGTTAGTCTCCTTTAGAGATAACTGCAGAAACTCCCAAAAACTTGTGTGCGTGACTTGTGTATACCTAATAACTATTTAGTAATATGAACAGTTTATCCAAGAATTTTACTTTTTCTGATATGTCTATGTTTTTTTTTGGGGGGGGGGGACACTTTAGGAAACAGTGATTATTAGAGTAGCTGACAATAGCAGATGTTTCTGACATAGTTTTGATGCCTAAATAATTATGATTCTTAACATTTTAAATAAAATATTAGTATAAAAAGGTGATAACCATGATAATCTTAGTAGTTTCCTAATAAGTAATAGTGTTTTGTTGTTCATTCATTGATTTATTCAATTTTTGCAGATTGTTGTTCCAAGAGGTCCAGTTGAAGCAAAAGGACTATTGTTATCATGTATAGAAGATAAAAACCCTTGTATATTCTTTGAACCGAAAATACTGTACCGAGCAGCAGGTAAAATATTTTCCTGCTAATACATGCTGTAAATACAAATGAAACTGATGCTCTGTGTAGGTGTAAGGATATCAATAACCTCCCAAAGCTTTCCAAGACAGTATACAAAACCATTACCTTCAAACCATTTTTATAATGAACATATTAAAAATAGAACAAAATATATTCAAGATAGCAGATTAAACCCAGATTTACAATACTACTACTACTTCTAGTAGCTGAGTGAAGCATCAAAGTTTTTACTGTTCACCAACAATTTAACAGAGATGGGACCAGATTAAGCTCCCTTGAGTGAAACCTCTGCACTTAGTGTGCTTGTCCTGTGTTCTTACCCTGTTTTGTTGATAAAATATACAGCAGGGCTTTAGAGGAAGATCAAAACCTAATGGCAGGTTCGTACAGTTTGTCTTTGAGGTATTCTAGCATCAGTAGCATCCACATCTTTGAAGTGGGACTGTAAATAAATCAGAAATAGATAAAAATTGGTGTAGGACTGGTCTACTATGGTCTAGAATGCGCACACATCAGAAATAAAGAAAGTACACCAGAAACTACATAATATTAAAGGATGAGCAACAACAGACACTATCATGGTCCTCAATCCCTCTCTTCTCCAGTTTTGATGAAGAAATCACAAACTTAGGCTAACACTAGGTAGAAATGATAGCTAAATCCAGATAAACTCTGGTGTGCCTTAACTGTCATTAGTGGATGCAAATCACTTTCAAACCATAGTTAAACTAATCTCAAACTGTAGTTAATCTTAAACATAAAGCACAGTTTATGCTTTAGACATAATGCTGAGTTTAATTAAGAACTCAAGTAGGAGCTTCATAGGAGGAGAGTGGAATATGTGCCCCTGAAGCATTCTTTGGCCTGCCCTAGTAATACTAATAATGTAAATCAGTCCTGTGTTTGCTATAGCCTTTGTCAAGTGTTGAGTGTATGTCCTCTTTTTATTCATCAGAGTAATGAATGAGCAATGCTAATTTTTGCTGTTAAAAAAGAAGTTAATGCTTAACATACGAGGGCTCTTCAAAACGTTTCCGCACTTTTTAAAACTCTATTAAGAATTTCAAAAACAAATTACATCTCTTTCTACATACTCACCTTCCTTTGCGATGCATTTTTCCTAGTGTTGCACCAACTTTTTAATACCATCAGCAAAAAAATATATAAAATATATTTATAAAATATAAAAGTGTGGAAGCTTTTTGAAGACCCCTTGTACACAGGTAGTTCACTAAAGGTGGACACTAAGAGTGCAGTCCTATGTAAATTTTGCCAGGAAAAATCCCTGCATTCCCAGCATTTCCCATCCGGCATAGCTGGCAAATACTGGGAGTTGTAGAACTTTCCAAACTTTCACAGGATATTGACCTGTGATTATTATAAAGTGGTTTATCTTGGTAATTCCAATGTGGAATGCTATTATTGTGACTTAACACCACATATGAAAATTTATATCAAAATTTTAATAGGAGCTTTGATTTATTTAAAAAGCTGTTGTCTTGATGGGTCAAGCCATAGTGGTGATTCAAAGGAAAACATGACTCATCTTGACATTATCAGGTTTAAGTATCAGGTGGAAAATCTATTCTTCTGTCTTGTGACCTTTTCAGTTTCATTTAATTCTACCATATATGACATGAGTGGTCTAGACGTAAATGATTTGCATCAGTGGTTGTTATAGTGACAGGACAGGTATGATGGAAAATAAGTTCTCTCTAACCAGTGTTCAAAATGTCCTGTCACACAGCTATACTCATGTTTTCCGGGTGCTGCTAACAGCAAGCAGAATTAACTCTTGCTTTGCACTATTTGTGAATTGTCATTTGTCAGTGTTCATAAGCTGGTAGAATTGGAGGGGCTTAACCCTAGTGCAGGAGATCCAGAGCTAGACTATTCCAAAGAGATGGATGTCTAGCTGTGTGCTTAATGAAGCCCAGCGAGGGAGAGCCAAGTCTTCTTAGTAGCTTGTTCTATTCATAAATTGCTCTGACCATTAACATGTGTCTCTTAAGTCTGCCTGAAATCTACTCTTTTGTGGAATATATTGATTTAAAAACCCATGGATTGTGCCCTGAATTAGAAAGAAGGAAACTTTATGCTAACCTGGCTCTAAAAGATCCATGTATAAATGGTATGTAGAGTGAGATTTGATGCAGCATAACCTGGGTTGAGATCTCTGTGCCATTTGTAAAATTCAGTAGGTGGCTTTTGTCACTTCATGATATGTCAGCCAGTGATGTAGGTTTTCCAGAAAACCTTGTATTTGCTTTGGAAAATTTTCTGTTTGTATCAGAAAACTGATAGTGACCTAATTTAGCAAGTTTATTTTACTTGGATTTAGTAAGCAACAAAGCTAAATAAAAACCCAGTGTTATTTTTTGTTCCAATAGATTTTAAGCATTTGATCTGAAATATTTCCAGAAAGTAAAGAGCGCTTACTGTAATTTAAATTTATGTATAAGAACGTTTTCTTATACATTTTCATATTTGGTATTAAGTCAAAATATCAATACTATAATAGCATTCTAAATTTGATTGACTAAGTTAAACCATTTCAGTATCATTCTAGGTCAAAATCCTATTTAGGTTAGATTAAGTTATTTAAATTAGATTATGTAGAAATTTTAATTGGGTTTCTTACTAACCTTAATTTGTTTAAATATAAGCAAGAAAGAAAGGTCCTGAAAACTTTGTTTATTACATTTATATGTAATAGTACTAATTGTACATTCCTATTCATCTATACTCAGAAGGAAGTCCCATTCTGTTCAGTAGGGCTTACTCTTAGGTGAATGTACATAGGATTACAGCTTTATTTATTTCATTTTATGCTGCCCAATAGCTGAGGCTGTCTGGGTTGTTAATAAACACAAACAACAACATAAAATAACAAAACCATAGCAATTCATCCTTCTCTTACCTGGTGCCCTCCATACATACTCTATTCCCAGAATCCTTCAGTCAGCATGGCTGGATGAGAATGGTGGGAGTTATGATTTGATACATATGAAAGGCACAGATTAAGTTGAGCACCTGAAGTAGTACTGTGCATCATACACTGAAAACTGCTCTTCTGCTTTGACAGAGTTCAGTTCTTTTCGACTGAAGCTGGGGATTCTTGATTTTTGTTGTCACTATATATTCATTCCCTTTCAACTGAAAAACAGTAATTACAACTAGGAAACTGCTAGCTTTGTCAAATATTGTATTTGCAATGACATCAATTCATTGTTACTTAACAAAGAGGATTTTTTTTCATGGAAAAAAGATAGCAAATAAAGCCTAATTTATCTCAGAGGGTTCTTCTGGTTGGGGGAAAAACCTGTTTTGGATTGCTTGAGAAAATGTGGCGCAATGTATAAAAATTAGTTTGGATGAATTATGCATCATAATCAGAGAGAGATAAGGAGTGTCTTATGTTAGACTGTGTGACACAATGTTGAAAATAATAGAACGCTGTATGAAGATGATGCAGGCAGGTAATATTTGATGCTAACAGCAGAAAGCATTAGTAATGCTTCACTTTCCATAAAATGCTCTCGGTGAAAAATCTTCTCAATCTGTCTAAAGGGAAAAGAAGCTTTTAAATTTTTATAAAGCCAAGGTTTATCTTCCCTCTCTCATAATGTTAGAGCTTGAGGTTATTTAATGAAGCCGAGTGGTGGAAGTTTCAGAAGTTCTTCATAATAACACAATTAAAACTATGAAAGGTACTACTACAAAATGTAGTGATGGCCCCCAACTCAGAAGACTTTAAAATGAAATGAATGCAATTTCATGGAGTACATGGCTACCAAATCTTGATGGCTATAGAGACTGTGTCCAGGCGCTCATGCCTGCTTGTGGGATTGCCATAGGCAGCTGCTTATATGTGATAGGCCCACAATCTGATCCAGAAGGCATTCAATGGATGTAGACAGGAATAAAAGAGCAGACTGGCACAATCAGATCATAAGCCTATTAGTAGTAGTAGTACTGTTTTTAATTAACTTTATTAAATGAAAACACTTTGTTGTTTTAGTATTATTATCTGTGGTCTTGAGAACTATGTACAAACCCTGTATCAGTTGTTTTAGTTACTGTGGTCTCACTTAAGTGTGGTTGACTGCAGTCTGAAAAAATTAAATAGGATATCCCAGAAATACAGTAAACATGCATGATTAAAATTGTGCACTGTTTTGAGTAACGTGAAGAACTCTCATGCGGTCCTGCTTGGAATATTAATTATCCCTTTGTCCAGCATATTCATGTTGTATATGATGTCCAGTCATTTAGTAGCCATCTCAGTCAGGGTGGATTTGATTTAAATAAAATCAATTTAAATTACAGCTAGATTTAAATCATGGTTTTCTACATAATTTGCACACACGCCTGCCTTATCTGTAAGTGGAGGAACTCCCATTAAAATATTCCCAAACTGGGTCCCTTTTATGGCCTGCTGCCCTTACAGGTTTTCTCCTTCAGACAAAGAATAATATGATAAACCTCAGTCTATACACAGAAAGAGCCAAAGATGTGTGCAATGTTCTGATCAAAAGGTTTCACTTTCATTTTTACTGCTTGCCACTCCTTCCCCACACACAGCTTCTTGTGCAGATCTGTTCTACTTCCAATAAACTTCTTTTGTTCATTGACTTTGCAAAGGAGCAATGGGATTAAGGTTATTTTCTCAACTCTGTATGTTTATTTCATAACATTTTTTGCTGTGAAGAAGAGACATGTGATATCTGCAGATCCAAATTCCCAATTTTGAGAACTGTAAAACCAAGCATCTGTGAGAGTATCTTCTACATAGAAAAATTGACTAATATTTTTGCAGAAACCTCTGGACGAGTCTGATATTATGAACAGATTAATGGAATTCATTTACCCCCAGATTTAAACATGCTTGAATATACAGCCTCATGATAAATAATTAAAAACTAATCCTTATTTTGTGATGAGTTACCTTTGGACTATAATGTATCTTAAGTAGAAAACTACCTTTAGATAGATGTTTCCTCAAAAAGTATTTTTTTAAAAAACTGATTTAACTCAGAAAAATCTGATTTAAATGTAAAAAGTCTGATTCTCTGATTAAAAAAAGATTTCTATCCACCTTGGTCTTGGCTGAAAGTGAGTACAGTATAATAAATATTTTAGAGGGAGAGAGAGCATATTCATATAACTCTTATTACAATTTTATTTTATTTTTAGTTATTGTTGTTAATGTCTAATTGTGCCTAATCTATAAATTTTTTCATAGCTATGTACAGTATGCAGTGTTTGCTACTATCTGTGGTTTCAGGCATCTGCTGGGGGACTTGGGACCGATCCCCTGTGAATGTGCGGATTCTACTAAGTACTGAAAAGCAGGAACAATCTTATTTATGATTACAGTTGTTAACATCATTTGTAAAATTCTTTTTTTAGAATACAGATGCAGAATGTTTGTTCTAGGTAGGGCTGGGTATATCCTGAATAAAAAGAAAATCTGCTTCTGTGTAATTTAGATTTTGCAGTTGTGCAAATCATTTGGATAATCCTGCTTTTTAGAGTATGTTGGAAGGGGCATTGTAGGATATTGAAATCCTGTCCATCTCTTTACCATATACAGGCATTGTCTACAAACTTGAAAGTGTAGCTTTGTAGCCTTGAGGGATAGAAACTTATTTCTTTGTAAAAATAAAAGTAGAGATATCAGATCCTAAATTCTGTGTCCCTGCTGCAGTTTTCTGCATTCCCATGAAATCCTAGCCTCATCTTTCTTTACTCCTTTGTGTGCATGGCTATCGTTATATAGGAAATGTGGAAGAATTAATTATTTTTGTTTATCTTTTGAAGGAAAATACATATGATTGCATGACTGGTGTTTGAACTGCTTTTTTTAAGAACTAATGTGTAAATAAGTCCTTACTGTCCAGTAGACAAAATCTATGTGCACTATTATAGCTACTTCCTATAATAGTTGCTACAAATTAACCAGGAAAGTTTAACAATCATTTTTAGAAATAATTTACTATGTAGTAATGTGCTGTTTTGTGCTAGCTATGGTGACAAAAGTCGCATCTGAGAACTGTTATTAAAAATGTACAGTCTAGAATAATTCACCAACATTATGTAACTAAACACAGATGAGAGAGAGAGAGAGAGAGCTTGAGAGATTACTGGCATCCAGTCATAATAAGTGATATATTTAGGATCCTTTGATTTTTCTGGTTGTACTTGGAGCTGGAGAAAATAGTTTATTTTATTTTAGCATGAGGGTTTGCCAAAACAAAAAAAAAATCAGTAACAGGAATCATTGGGAGGAGAAAGAGAATTAAAAATTTGAATCACCCATGTTTCAAACTCTACCCTGCACTGCTGAAAGGACACACCTGGGTATTTGGGAATCCTCTGGAACAGCATGTCATTTGACAGGCTGAATGTAGGAAGGTGGGGATTAGTGGAAATCAGTAACTCCAACTGTGGGACAGGACTTCATGCTGCACAGGGACACCATTTAGATCGAAATCTGCTTTTAGGGAATACTGTTCTCAAGAATAGCTGTATCCTTGAAATCACATTGTATCCTTTGTAGAGCTAACCCATAAAAGAATACTTTCTCAAAAGTAATATTTCAATGTACTATTTCAGAATACTATTTCAAAAGACATTAACATTGTTCTGCTTATGACAGTTTGATAGAATTGTTTAAAATGACCATGAATAGTATGGTAATTGTACATATCAGAAGAAAACAATCTTGGAGAAATTTACAGTTAGCTGGTAGAATAATATAACAGCCTTTATGCCAGTGACTCATTCTTGTCAAGTTATCAATGTGAAATTATAACTTTATTACAGAGGTTCCCCCAGTTCTTTGGAGCAAGGCTTTGGGAAAGTTGGGGGCTTGAATGGACTGGGATTAGCAAAAATGCGGTGCCCTATTTTGTGTGAGTAGAAGCATTTTCCACAAAGGCAAAGTCACTTTTAGATGCAATTCATCTTCATTTCCTTTTCACCTGATGACAATAAGCTATTTTAGTTCATGCCTGAAATATTATAATGCAGTAGTTATGGAGGTTTAATTTCATTTATGATATAGGTAGGCATAACAGAAGAGTATCTCTTAGCAAGCTGAAAGGTCCTTTTTGATGCTGCTCATATTACGGAATAACCAAACAGTTAGGTACTGGTCTTGTGATGTTCCACTGGAGTCCGTTAAAGCTTGTCAGTAGTAAGGGCTTGAGCAAGTCTGAAGTCTTGATTTGTAGAACTAAGGCACATAGCTTAAGCAGTGATAATTTGGGCTGCAGTCTTGCCAGTTTTGTTTTATGTCACGTCTACTGAAAGACAGATTGTAAGTATATCTTTTCTCCTTGAATCTCTCTAACTGTGCTACAGTTAGAGGATCTAAACTGCTTTGCTTTGTATTCATTTAGTGGAGCAAGTCCCTGTGGAGCCATACTACATTCCACTTTCTCAAGCAGAAGTACTTCAAGAGGGAAGTGATGTTACACTGGTGGCTTGGGGTACTCAGGTCAGTATGATTTGTGGACATCTGGTGGACTAAAATAGCAAATTTTATATTAGGTTATTTTCTGAAAACTTGCTTATAAACAAAAGCGGTGGGAATAAAGTGCAGTCCAAAGAAAAAATAAAACAGGCAAGATTGGACCCAGGCTAAGATAGTTGCACTCAGTGGGACTTTACTTGAAAAGTTAATTCACAACTAAGTTTTCTCAATGATTTTAGTGGAACCTACATTCAGCAAGCTGTCTTTACGTAATTACAGGCAAAAATTTCATATTGCTGTGCATTTGACTTTAAGATCAGTGAAAACTTTACATTTATGCATACAAACATATGTATATATACAGCACCATACATTCTGGTTTAGATCAAATTTTAGCAATGGAGCTTAAATTATCATGGTTAATATAAAGAGCCAGTGTGGTGTAGTGGTTAAGAGCATGGGACTGGGACTCAGACGATCTCGGTTCTAGTTCTTGCTCAGCCATGGAGCCAACTGGGTGACTTCAGGCCAGTCACAGACTCTAAGCCCAACCTACCTCACAGGGTTGTTGTTGTGGGGATAAAATGGAGGAGGAGATGTAAGTTGCCGTGAGCCTTTTGTAGGAAAAAGGCAGGATATAAATTGATAAATAAATAAAGTAAGTAAGTAAGTCTCATTTATTTCAGTGGGCTGCTTTAAGTATGAACAAATGTGGATCCAGGCCTCCGTCTTTTTTTTTGAATGTTTATTTCTGACTTGAATCTTTACATATGGTCCTTTCATTAAATTGCTAATGGTATATACTTTTCCTGTTCGATTGCCCTAGTGAAAAGTATGCTTTTAAAGATACTTGGAATGTGAAATTAAAAAGCTGTATTAGTTTTCAGTTAGAAGTTCTGTGATTTACCTTTCAACAGAATATTTCTGAGCTGAAAAACAATAGGTAAAACTTTACTACCAGAGTTAAAGGAACAACTAAATTATACAAACCTACCCCCACTCCCACATCATGTGAATGAACCATCAGCCATAGAAGGGCTGAGTAAAAAGTAGACGTTGAAGATCCATTAGATATAATTAACTTGGTGCTGACCCTATGATGATCAGCCAACCACACTGGGCCACACCATGAAACTACTGTGCCTTGTAGTTCTTTTGTGTTCCAGAACAGGAAAGGTGGATGGAGAATTTTGGCCACTGCTGTGACGAGGTACATGGGGCATTTCTGACCAACAAAAGTGAAGTGCCCAGTGCCCCACCAAGATGTCCCACCTAGAAGTGCTGGAGGTGGAGTGGTACATAACACTTGTTGGAGATTCTTGGGTCAAGCAGTCACCTAAGCTGCTCTGGTCTATCTTAGTATGAAAAGTGTATATGTCTCTGTGTTGAGCAACCATAGGATGGCTTGAGGTTTCTCCAAACTTTTGTGCTTCCAAGGTGATGGGTTTCCTGAATTGGGCAAGGGTGGGAGGCAGGTAGAAATGACTGCAGTGTTTGGCTTGGCCAGCAAGGTCAGCTAAAATTGTAGGTATGTATAGATACTCTTAGAGTCATAGAATTCTAAGGCAATTAGGATACCAGTTGCAGTTCTAAAATATTACATTGCATGAGAAATATTTAGATATGCCTTCTTCCAAAATGAAACTGAACTTATATTCATTCAACATACTGTTTTGTCTTTCCCTACCTCCTCCTTCCATATTTAGGTTCATGTCATCAAAGAGGTAGCACTTATGGCTCAAGAAAAGCTTGGTGTGTCCTGTGAAGTAATTGATCTGAAGACTATTCTGCCTTGGGATACAGAGACTATATGCAAAGTAGGTATATATAACTTGTTTATGTATGAATCTGTGCTTAATTGATTTTCTTGTATTACTTGCTATTTTGATAGTCATGAATATGTTGCCTTGTATAAGGAAATTTACAGTCTGGATCATGGAATACTTGGTGAACTTTGAAAGAGTAAATGTTGGAAGGCAGCAGGAGGATGAGCCTCTCAGATTTTCCTGGGAGGAAGTTCTGCAGTTGTAGGACCACCACTGAAAGACTATCCATGCTTACCACAGACTTGGTCTTAATACATGACTGGTCCATTTTTCCTGAGGGAAAAAAGCATGCTTTTTATGGGCATAGAACACACTGAATGGTTTCTAAGGGCTTTTTCAAGAGTTTTGCGATTTTTAAGAGTCAAACTCCAGTTTATATGCATTGTGTGAATATGATATTTATCCTAAAAGTAGGCGTATTTACTTCAAAACCAAGTCATATATGTTACTTTAAACAACTATATAGAAGGAATTTCAGAATTCCCCCTCAGAATGGGAGTAGGGAAGGATGAACAGATGCTGTTGAATATCTTCTGTGTAATTGATTTTATATGATGCCATATTTTTTGCATTGGGATATTAAGGATTGTTTATCCAAATCTGCCCTTGTGCTTGAGCATGGCAAGTCAACCTTTGGAAATTGCAGCCTGAAATTTGACTTTGATATACAAGCACCTTTGAACATAAAAACACTTCCATGGACTACAAGGGTTATCAGTAATGACTATTTTGAGATAGCTTTATTTATGTACTTTTGACATGAGTTAACAAAGTTAATATTCCGTACAGCAAGTTCCAAGAGAAAAGGTTATGTTTTCCTAGTTTACAAGGAGAAAGATTACTGAAGGAAGAACACTACTAATATTAATATTAATCTTGTAAGATTTGCTAGTTATATTATACAAAATATAAGTTTATATATGATGAATTATGCAAGATGTAATTATAATGCACATAGGAGAAATGGTTAAGGATGCAGTCCCATAGTTATTTGTTTAAATTTAGCTCATTGATTAAAAAAATACAAATAACAGAAACAAGGCTTATGATTAATCAGTTAATATGTATTGTAGATATAATTACTTGTACTATTTTCCACATGACATATCATTATGGAATGACCACCACTAGAGGCCTCTGTTAGCTCAAGTTAACATGAATTTTGGCTTTTCTTTACTGATTATTGTCTTCACAAGACAATGTCTTCACAAGACAGAATTGCTTTTTATTCCAGAATAAGAGGAGCATCTACCAGCTTAATGCCAGCTGGTTTTCTACATAGGTTTTGGATTATAACTCCATCAGCCTCTGCCAGCATGGCCAGTAGTCAAGTAGGATGAGAGTTGTAGTTGAAAGTATTTTGAAGGTACCACATTGGGAAAGGCTAATCATATCTATTGTTTTAGTCCCTTGAAAGTGTGTGTGTTTTGGTGTTGGTAACATTGGTTTCTAGAATAATGGTACTGAGAAGGCTGCCTGGCAATCATGGAGGCAGCAGTGCAGTCAAAGTTGCCATTCATTTTCATAAAAAGAGCATATGCATTTTTCTCACTTTTTCTTTTTCTTTTCTTTGCAATTCACCTGAGTGCCTTCTTTCCCACTTACTTCCTTGCTGCCTTTTTGACTTTAAAAATAACAATTTCCTCCAAATACAAAGCCGGTGTAACCATGTGACTGAGCCAACCTCCCCCCAGTTATGCCATCTAGTTTTGTAGCACAAGCCAGGTTGATCATGTGAAACTATGTATCTCAGCAGAGTCTATATAAATGTCTTGACTGGGGTGTTTGTGAAAATTTCTTCTAAGAAACTTCCCTGGGGGTCAGAACAAGATATGCAAAGCACAGCAGCAGAGCCAGTTGCAGAAAGATACCGTTGTTATGTACAAGTTATACATGTGATAGTGTGATTGTGGGTGTGGACATAATCTACTTCCCATTAACACTGAAGCTGATGAGTAGTCCGCCTTCATTGAGAAGGCTATGGAAATAATCAAAGACAAGGGACCCCAATCTAACAGACCCATTCACAGTATTTTAATCCTGTATTATAACCAAAAGTAATGCATTCTGCAATGTTATCTAATGAGCTGTGTGAAATTAAACTTATGACTTTTCTTCTCAGTGAGAACAAGTAGGTTTCCTCTTTTACCAAAAACTTTTACTGAAAGAGTTTCATAAAATGTTGAGTAGCTGCAAAGACCCTGACTTGTCTCTTCCAAGTATACTGTCAAGCTTTCTTTTGCTGCAAAATATTTTTAGGAGGTGCTTTTACTAGTTTCTTCATTTGAGGGTACTGGGATTAATGACTGGAGACACTTGAGTGACTTTCTGAGATGGTTTGAAAGGTCACTCAAGCAATTCATTGTGTCTTGATTTTCTGGGGTTTGTACAACTGCTTGACAGGTGCAATGCTATCACTTGAGAGCATTTGTGGTGTCAAAAGGGTGTAATGTCTCCTGTGGGAAGACCATTCAGAATGAACTGATCATCATTTCGACCAAGGAAGTGTTAGAGAACAAGTTGGGCAAAACTAAAAATTACTTTGTTGCAATGGATTGCACACCTGATGGAGGTTGCTCTATGAAGATGTAATTCAGCATAGCTCAGCATGAGATCTTTTGACAGTGATGGAGGCAAGATTTGTGCAAAAGAGCGAATCACAGGATCACAAGATTCAGGACAGTTCATGAATCAACTGGAGGGAAGCTCATCGAACTCTTGCTGAAACTAACATTAACATCAGGGATGGTTCCAACATGAAAGGGGGGAAAAGGTGTTCAGACAATGCTACTTTGTCTGGACACCTTTGTTGGTACCCTGAGGCTGCCATTATTTCAGTCTGGTGGTTTTAGATGCAGTCTCATAATCAAAGGAATCTATTATGCTTTTGGTGCATATTTGTCCTCTTGTCTATCTCTGTTTAATGGTGACAGATACTAAAAGACAATTTCTTAAGCTGTTTTGTGAAGCTCTTCACAATAAAGTAGCACTCACTGGGAATGTCAAATAGCTACTGTGAGGCTATTCAGTATCAAATAGAAGAAGGATTATGATACTCTGAAGAAGTAGCAGAATTACCTTAAGAAGATACAGGTCTTTGACATGAAGCACAGTTCCTGACAGAGCAACTGATGGGCTTCAATCATAGTATGGTCCAATGTGGCAGTATTCCACATGAGTATCAAAAGCAGTGCCTTACAATAGACATGGTAACTACTCCTTCCCTAAATGAAGTAATGTGTGAAGTTAATTCTGTTTTACAGGGAAGCAGCAATGCAGAGGTGATTAACATAGTGAAAGTGCTAACAAGCCTTTGCAGCTGATGCAACCCCCCACATAAGGTCCACAACAAGAGGTCAAACGTACAATGAAGAGCTCAGTAGGTCAGAAAAAAATCTATACTAGTCGTCACTGCATGTGTTTCAGTTGAGTGATTTGAGCAGCTTGACTCTCCGGAATACACGGAGATTCTTGTACAACTTTGAAAAACTACCAGAAGAGGTTCTTATTACCTACTGTGTGGATCTACTGGATCTACTACCCAGAGTGACTGTCCAGCTCACCCACCCCAAAGCTGACCCTGCACTGCAGTGGATAAAGTTGTTTCTTGAAAGAGCCAAGAGATTTTTATATAGACGTTAGAGAGATGTGGTCATGAAAGCTTCAATAAATGGAGGGCTTGAAATATCTTCAAGTATTTTAAAGAAACCTCTGTAATACATGGTTTCCAGCTATATAGTTATTAGGCAATATGTGAATTGTAAATATATTTATATTTACATATATGCAGACATCTGTGCACATTAAAATGCAGGCATTCTAGAGAGAATGGATTAAGCAGGGTCAGGCATTATGCAGCCAGTCTCTTAATGACATTCCTTGTTTCTGAAATGGCAACTATGGAGGTGAGTGCAGAGATAGGCAGAAGTGGTGGCAGCTGGGAGGAAAGATAGGCCCACTAGGGAGGAGGAGCAGTGTGGTGGAAGCTGGCAGAAACGATGGTGGGGAACAGCACAAGGGAGTCTTGTGGGCACACTTGGGGGTCCTGATGGGTGCCAGAGCATCCATAGGAACCATGTTGCGTCCCCTGGCCTAATGTCGTGTGGAACTTCTAAGAAATGTGTTCAAGCTGCTACTTAAGTCTCAGAGCTTTCTACAGCCATTGTTTCATTAGAAATACAAATTAAATATATTGCTTTTGTGCCTCTATACTTAGTGGCAATTAGTTTGTAATGACTTTTCAGTAGTTGCTGTGATGTGTAAAGTACTGTGATATGTATTTCATTTGAAGGGAGGGGCTGATTTGCACTAATTTGCTTTATCAGTAATGCACAACTGGACATTAGTTAATTTGCTTTAATGTTAATATGTGCTCACAAATGTGTATTAGTAAATTAGTAGAAGTAGAATCAAATACTGTTTAAAAAGATCCTATTCCATCCATGAGTGGATGATGGAATGAAAGCTGCCTGATGGTGTGTGATGTATGGATGGAATAGATCCAACAAATTCCATAATCTGCAGTTGGAACTATGGAAGGATGGGCTTGCTTCTGCAGGCACACTATTTCAGTGCATTCCAGAGTGGGAATTCTAATACATTTCAATCACTGAAAGGAACGGAAGGTGGGGATAATTATTTCAGATTATTTAAAATAGAATATATTATATGTGCCACTTGAATTCTTGCTCTCTAAAATGATTTAATAATACATTGCTTGGAACTCATGTGCTTGCTTAAGTCCAAAGAGAAGAATCTTCTGTGCTGTCTTATGTTAGTGTTTTTGTGAACTCAGTCATGGTGGAAGAAAGTGGGGAACTGAGACAAGACTAGTGTGCACAGGGTTGTTTCCACACTTAGCATACATGGAGATTAGGAGAGTGGCTACCTGGAGAAGGGCCTTCTCTGTGGTGGTGCCCTGGTTGTGGAATGTGCTCCAAAGGGAGGTGTGCCTGGCCCCGACGTGCCAGGCCAAAGCCTTTTTATTTTCTCATGCTTTTAAGAACTAATTCTTATTTTAATCAGTCTTGTATTATAGATGATGCTGTGCCTTTTTTGTTGGACCATCCTGAGACTATTTTAGAACAGGATACAAAAGTTTTGATTAAATGAATGAATGAATGAATGAATGAATGCGACACTGTTAACCGTGGGATGCCCCTCATGATGAAAAACTTTTATTTTCTTATCTTATCTTATTTTAAATGAATGCATTTATCTCTTGAAATGTTTGAGAATAAATGAGCTTGCAAATTCCAACAAGTAGAAGTTGTCCAAATATAGAAGTGTATTCTGTTCTTATCGCTGGAGCTCTGTCCAATTGCTGCTTGATTTTTCTAAGGAGCAATTAATCTTGTTGTTGCTTAATTTCTTGTGTACAGTTGCTCATTTCATGTTTTAGAATACATTCACAGCAACATGCGCTATGCACAGATAATTCTATTCTTACTATATTGTTCGTGTATAGGCTAGTTCAGATGGCTCATTATTCCTTCTTGAGGAATGTGATTCCTTCTTTTTCTTTTGATGCTTGTAGGTTCTGTTTCAACATCCTTACGTTCCTCTAACAAATAAAATCAGAGCCAGTTGTTTCGATGGCAGTGTAACTAAACATGTGATTCTTAATCCTGGGAAAGGGAGAACTTGATGAAAATTTGAAGGATACAATCTGTGAGCATTTGAATTCGGCAACAGAAAAGCCATATTTGTGCATGTGCACAAAGAAATAAAAACATCTAGCATTCAGCAGCAATATAATGAAACAGGACTACTAAGAATACCATAAACAATTTTTAAAGCTATCAAATGGATTGGTGGAGTTCTTTCAAGATTTTGCTATTCATATATAGGATGGAATGCTACAGATGATAGTGCGTTCTGACTGCCCCTATACACAGCAGAATGAATGTGCATGTTACATCTTACATAGGACACTTGGCCTGCAACCTTGTACACATTACTCTGGGAGTATAGACATGTATAGGGTTGCACTGTAATGTGGAGCAGATTGTTTTGGTGAAGTTGTCTTCAAATATCAAATTAATCCACTAGAAATCATTTGTAGAACTGTTGGGGTTGCTTTTATAATCTGTAAATGTATTATCCATCCAAAATAACTTGGCTTATGTTTAAATTAATGACATTTTGACACTGCTTTCCATTTTCAGACCCAGCCCTTTCAGTTTATGTATAACTACATTGTGGAACCTTCCTCAGCCCCTACAACATACTCACAACCTCCACGGTGCAAATGGTCTTTTGGGTAGATTTACATTGCATACTGAGCTTAATTAGCTTTCACTAAAAATGAAAATGAACATAAGAAATTTTGAACCCAGAAGGTTTTTCAAAAGTTGAAATTATGTTCCTGCCTGTTTTAGGAATTATTGCAGTATTGCAGTAGAATATACTGTTACTAGATACATCTTTTATCATGGATTGTTAAACCATCTGTTATCCAAGAAGAGGAGGGGTACTTCATAGAAGCTTTGTGGCTTACTAAAAGAATCAGCCCTACTTGGAGTTTTAGGGCATTCCAATGTATCGTCACCTATCGTCACTGTGTTTTCTAAAAAATTGAAAATCCTGAGTTGAAAACAGGATGAAACTATATAGAATCTTACTCTTAGCTTCAGAGATATCTTTGTTTCTGAACTAGTAAAATGTTGGACACACAGCTATGATAGCCACAGTCTTTAATCATTTGGAAAGTTTGACTTGATTGCTGAATTGCTGATGTTTTCCGCCAGATAAAACATGTGTGAGTATTAAAATTAAGACTGTCATACATTAGGCAGATAAATCTACATGGTTTTCTGTTCTGTGTTCTATTAAGTTCATGTAACATTTCTTAATATATATTTCTTAATTGAACTGTTGCCAGATAGATTTTGGATATGAAAGTTATGTTTTAGCAACGATAATTTGGCTTTATTTCTGCATTAAAACAGTCATAGTTTGCATATTCTGTTTGAAAAAATGTCATTGCATATGCTGTATGTTGAGGATGCTGGACATGTGTCCCTTCAGATGTTCTTGGAGGGGCAACTCCCATATTCTCTCACTACTGGCTATGCTGGTACAGCCTGATAGGAGTAGCAGTTCAACAAAATTTGGATGACTGCATGTTCCCCACCCCTGCTATATGTATGCAGACTTTTTTGTTTTTTGTTATTAAAAAAGTATTTTCTCTTTTTAGTCAGTGGCAAAGACTGGACGGCTGCTGATCAGTCATGAAGCTCCTATTACAGGAGGTTTTGCATCAGAAATTAGTTCCACAGTTCAGGTAGTATGCAGTTTTTTGATACTATAGTATTTGAGTTCTTTCTATCTGAATATCTGCTGTGATGTTTTCAAAAATTGAGCTGTTATGTCCCAATTGCTTTTCACTGTCTGTACTTAAACTGTTGGATAGGTGGATGTTGGAAGAAGGAAAAGAAAAAAGCAACTTCTTAGTATCAGTTTAAATCCCTAACATTGTCCTGCAGGAAATATCTAATGAAATATCAAAGTTCTGCACTGATAACATGCTTGGAGGCTTAACATTACAGTTCTTCGTCGTGGCCTCTGTGCATCACACATATGGGTTGCTGCACCTGCGCAGTGCCTAGGCTGGAAGATTAGAAAGCTAATGGTCTTTGGCGGGAAAATTCCGCTCCCCTCCCCCTTTGTGGTATAAATAGAGCGGAGTGTCCGCCATTTTACTCAGTCTTTGCGACCGCCGTTCGCTGTGCCTCGTGCCTATTCGTCTCTCGCTATAGATCTGTGCCTCTTCGTTGTTTTTTTCTCAAAAATCTTAAACTCCTCTTGCTCCAAGTTTGTTGTTCTTCCCGATTCTGTCCGTTTTCTTCTTAAATTCTCTTCTCTCTATATATAAACAAAACAAAACAAAAATATTATCTTACCCTCTATACTGTCCTCTTTTCTTCATTTTTCCACAATGGCGCAGCAGGTGGCATTCCGCAAATGTATTGAATGTGGATCTAAAATGTTGCCAGTTGATCCACATGATCTATGCCTCCTCTGCCTCGGCGAGGGGCATAGGACCGACAAATGCGGTCATTGCTTGGCGTTTACCAAGCAGGCGCGGAAAAACAGGGAGAATCATCTCAGGAAGCTCCTATGGGATCAGGCATTAATGCAATCTGACCAACTGCTCCTACGGCCTGGTTCCTCTTCGTCCGCGCCTCCTCAGCGCTCTTCCTCCACCATGAGTGCTCCGGCGAAGCGTCCTTCCTTGACCTCTGCCGATCCTCCACAGCGTCCTTCGGACGAAGGCGCCACTTCTATGGAGGCTCAGTCACTGCCTTCTCCCCCGGCTAAGAAGCGGGAGAAGCACAAGCATACTGGTCTGGATAAACCTTCCACCCATAAGAAGTTGAGGAAGGAGAAGGTGGATAAGCCCGCTCGCAAGAGCAAGAAACCTGATCGCCCAAAACACTGGGGCTCAGGTTCATCGGGCTTTTCGGTACCGACGGCCGCCATGGTATGACCCCCTTGGGACCGGCTCTGCAACTCGTTATGCAGGTGATTCCACTGGGATCCCCCAGGCCAACCACTCGGCCTGAGAGTGTGCCTCCCCAGCAACAGGAGGAGCCACTTCGGGAGTCCATCTCTGATGGTGAGATCAGAGACTCCCTGCCGAGGGACCGCTCGCCAACACCTATGCCACCGACTGAACCTCACGTGGCCTCACCATTACCTCCCAGATGTCGCAGCCTTTCATCCGAACATCGAGATGAGAGTTGGTTGATCCCGGGATATGGTGCTCCCCCCGGCTGGGGTGGTTACCAACCATATCCCTATTTTCCTCGGGATCATAGATCACCATCGGTCCCGAGGGACATACCATCCACCTCCAGGCGTACAGAGACGAGGCGCCCAACCTCCCCTGAAACCTCCTCCTCCTCAAGTGAAAACCGGCCGCGTTATGTGGAAGACTCTGAGGATTTGGAGGTCGACTCCACATCCCCTGATGTGGCTGTCGCATACCAAGGGCCTGCTTCACCTGACGAACTGCATGTCTCTTTCACAGAGCTCATGTCCTGCTTAGTTCGTTCACTTGAAATCGAAGCTCATCAACAGCCAGGCCCCTCCACAGATCGGTTTTATGATGTCGTTCGGGGAGAGCAGTCCGCATCCATAGCTCTGCCGCTTATAACTACACTCCGCCAGGCTATGGTCCAGCCCTGGGCCCAACCGGCCCAACCACAAACTATCTCCCGCAGATATGAGGCCATGTATAGAGTTTGTGACAATGACATTCCCTTCCTGCTCCGTCACCCGAAACTGAACTCTCTTGTGGTTGAATCCTCCCAGGGCAGGGAGTCCAGGGGACATACCGCTCCTCGGGACAAGGAAGGGAGGAAAATCGATATGCTTGCATGCCGAGTCTATGCGGCCTCTGGACTTGGCGTGCGCATATCGAACTACGAAGCGACACTGGCACGTTACCAGTACTTTATCATGCAGAAGCTGGATAACGTTGCTTCCTCCCTTCCAGACCACCAAGCAGACCTTGCCAGGGTTTTCATTAAGGAGGCGATGCAGGTGGCGGTGCAACAGTTGTCTGCCGCTCGTCATCATGTAGACACCGATTCAAGGGCCCTCGTCAATGCCATCTCGTTACGCTGACGTGTGGCTGCGCAATTGTAATTTCCCCAATGAGTTGAAGCACAGAATCGAGGAAATGCCATTTGACGGTACTGGTCTGCTCCACCAGAAGACCGACTGCAAATTAAAGGCGATTCACGAATCACGCCTAACTGCATGCCTCATGGAGCTCCCGCAAAAACGTAAGTGGCAGTGGCTTCGGTCTTCCTACCGGAACCAACCATACTATCCACGCCAGCAAAACTACCCTCGCCAGCAATATCAACAATGGCAGCATCGGAGACAGCAAACACAACAGCGTTTTTCCCAAGGCCGTCGGCGATTCGATACCGATAAACGGCCACATTGATGGCTTGGGTGAACCATCCTCTCTTTCCCAACACCACCTTCCCTTCTCCCTTTTGGGAACCGGCTCCAGGGCCAACTCCCCATTTGGAAGTCCATTACATCTGATAGGTGGGAGTTATTTATCATCCAGTTCGGATATAGGATAGAATTCGATGTTATCCTTCTTCGAGCCTGATCCGCTTCACACCTTCTTCATTGGTGCTACGTGATGCGGTCTCCCAGCTACTTCTCAAGGGAGCGATTCGACAATTGTCCTGCTCGGAAGGATTGCATGGATTCTATTCCAGATATTTTACGGTCCCGAAAAGGGACGGTGGTCTTCGTCCGATCCTGGACTTACGAACTCTTAATAAGTACATTAAACCAAGGAAGTTCCGGATGACCACTTTGCAAAATGTCCTTCCGTTATTGAAAAGAGAGGATTGGTTCACCTCACTGGATTTGAAGGATGCTTATTTTCATATTTCCATCCATCCTTCACACAGACGTTTTCTACATTTTACTGTCAGATCCGACCTGTTCGAGTTTAACGTCCTACCTTTTGGCTTGGCCACAGCCCCTCGAGTCTTTACGAAGTGTATGGCGCCGGTATGCGCACACTTGAGGACATGGGGAATACAGATATACCCATACTTAGATGACTGGCTTATCGTCTCACAATCCGAGCAAGCTCTCCTGTCTGATATACAAATGACCTGCGCTCTACTCGATGCTCTTGGTCTCTGCATTAACCGCGACAAATCGCTCGTTATTCCCACGCAGGTCATCGATTTCATCGGGCACAACTCGACGCAGGAAAATCCTTCATTGGATTTGGCTACACGGAACGGTCCCAGCCTTATCCGTTCAGAGACTACTGGGGCATATGGCTGCTGCAATTGCCATTGTCCCGTATGCCAGACTACGTATGCGACCCATACAACTGTTTTTCAACGCTGCTTTTCAACCGCAACAAGATCCTGCCACCAAGCCGATTCGGATTCCATCTGCAATCCTTCACACTTTAACATGGTGGACCATCACAGATAACCTTTCGATCGGCGCCCCGTTTTGACCACCTCGGCCAACAACAACTCTGTACACCGACGCATCCGTCCTTGGATGGGGTGCGGCATGTTCGGGACTTCAGGTCCAAGGTACTTGGAACTGACGAGAGGCGAGGAAAGATCAACTTTCTGGAACTTCTGGCGATTTTCAACGCCCTCAAGGCTTTCGAGACTGTGTTATGCCGTTCAGTTGTCCAAATTGCATCAGACAACATAGCGGCAGTTTTCTACATCAACAAGCAGGGGGGCACAAAATCCCCAGCCTTAGCATGCCTATCGATGGACATTTGGGACTGGTGCATACCGAGGAACATCGTGCTTATGGCAGTTCATCTGGCTGGAACCGACCACGTCAAAGCAGATACATTAAGCAGACAGATGTCAACAATCCACAAATGGGAGTTGTACAAACAAATTTGCGAGAAACTCTTCCACTTGTGGGGTTATCTGGACGTGGACCTGTTCACCACTCGAGAGAACAGCCTGTGTACCCTATACTGTTCCAGAGCGGGCATTGGGCCGGGATTGATGGGGGATGCTCTTATGGTCCCTTGGAGCAACATGACTTTTTATGCGTTTCCCCCAATCCCACTCCTGACAAGAGTGGTTGCAAAAATAGCCCAGGACAATGCC